CCGAACTAAGCCAAAAAGAAAATGAATAATGATAAAGCAGACGGGTGTGCTGCCTGCAGCTGTCGCTAGATGGAGACATTTACCAGATAACCAGAAAAAAGGGCAGCATTTGACTCTGTTCATTATTAATGCTGTAAATGTGTGTGCACACGAGGGATTTTGAGAGCCTCAGAAATTCCATCCATGGGGCCCAAGTGAAATGCACCCTTTCCCTTTCTACTTTCATGTAATGTTTATTTATATTGCTGTTTGTTATAATACTCAATATCTTCTTGTCTACATTTTAAATTAATGCAATCTCTACATTTTAAATGATTCTTATTTTTTATTATTGTAAAATTAATTTAAAACTAAAAATAATACATGTATTTATTTATAAATTTGACTGCTGGACTGCTCCATGGTGGATATTTTATTTTGTAATACTATTATTACATAACATGACATTATTATGATAATATTTAATTTGTTTGTGTACTAAATAATATTTCATTACATTTGTTTAACTCTCACTGTACAAAGTATGATAGAAAATGATGTTATATATAGTTATAGGTATAATTTATAGTTCTAGATATTTATTGGGGGCCCCAAGATTTCCTGAGGCCCTAAGCGGCTGCTTACTTCGCTTGTTGGTTAAATCCACCCCTGTGTGTGTGTGTGTGTGTGTGTGTGTGTGTGTGTGTGTGTGTGTGTGTGTGTGTGTGTGTGTGTGTGTGTGTGTGTGTGTGTGTGTGTGTGTGTGTGTGTGTGTGTGTGTGTGTGTGTGTGTGTGTGTGTGTGTGTGTGTGTGTGTGTGTGTTTATCAATACGCTCAACGATTATTTCAGTTAAGTGGTTGTTAATATATATTTTTTTAAACACAGATGTATAATTCTCCTTATATTTTCTTTTTAGCATAACAAATATGTTGTTATATAATATTTCAGCTATTTATAATGCTTAATTTATGTGACTCGTAATGATTCTTAAACAATTTTTATAAATTCATAACTCATAAACTGTTTTTTTATGTTTTCAATTATAAATATATATACACGTGTATAATATTTCCTAATATTTTGAACGTTGGAAGACTAGAACTATCATTTCGTGTGTGTGTGTGTGTGTG